CTGGTTACAAACTATGCTTTGAAGTCAGGCCTGCATTTGAATGTTTTCAATCAAAATCTTAAAATAAATGTGGAAAGAAAACAATTTCTAGTCTTCCAAAGAGTGCCACCATTGGGGAAGGCAGTCTTCTGTATTATACTTTTCAGAGAAATGTGAATTATATTGCCTTTGTTAAGGTGTTAAAGTGCTAAAGAATTACTCCATTATTTTGGAGGCAAATCTAAATGCTTCCTCATGACAAGATTACCGTCTATTAGTACAAGTCAGGGTCACATACATGGGACTTCTACTACCTTTGAGTTTTCTAAATATCGGCATTACATTACTGTCATATTTTTTGTCATTAGACAGTTTACTTTTTAATTAAGTAATCCAAGCTTATGCAGCCAATGCAGTTCACCAGGGCTCATGCCTAGCAATGGCCAGAGGGCCCAGGCTGACTCTCAGACCCTAATGTTTTTTAAACCTTCATGGAAAGAAAAGTATTGTCACCAATAAGAAAAGCAGTATACTGTGGAGGTATTGAGGCAAGTCTTAGAGTTTTGCCAGGTGTGTTTTATCTTGGTTCTACCTTTTGGTAGCCTTGAAATTTTAGATAAGTGACTTCAATTTTCTACCCATATGGTTGTGAGAATTAATTAAGATAATACTTAGAAAGAATCAATGAACAGTGCTAGTGCGTAATAAATGTTAGTCAGGATTCTCTTCTTAGTTTATTAGTAGAGAGAGAGAGAAGACTTTCAGAATCCTTTAAGGCAGACAGTTCATTTATTCTGAGAAAGTCAACTAAATGGGAATGTAAAGCAAAATCACCTTATGAAATATGCGGTTTCAAGTTGATACAATGTCTTTACAAAGGGAAATATTTAAAAAAAATTTTGAGTTGGAGCTAGGGGCATCTCTGCAGAGTAGGGCACTTTGGGAAGGAATATGTCTTAGTAGAAAGGGACCAACTGGCTTCCCCCAGACCAGATTTTTATCACTTGTGGTTAGTGAGTCAGAGATAAAAATCTGAAAGGGAAAAAAATATGTTTTACCAAGACTTTGTGAGTCTCTCCACACAAATTGAGCTGATTAAGGGCCCAAATGAGAAAACACAGCCCAGAGTTAGGGAGAGGCTAGTCTCCCATTCCTGTCCAGAAAAGTCAATATCATTTTGCTATCACAAGAATTCTAAATGATTTTTGAAACATTCCATTCTCTAGCTGATTATTTTTTTATATAAGAAAGCTATTTTAATGTTTATTTTTTATCTGGAAACAATACTGAACATATATTTCTAATAGCCTTTAAAATGTGAATTGTTTAAATGCACAGTTTTGTTAATTGTCAATAATGATAACTGTGCTCCTCCAATCAAATTTCTATACCTTTTATTTTTTGTTTCCCGTCTTATCACATGTAAATTATTTTACTATTATTTAGGAATGATTAAAATAGTATTGCATTTTTGACCCACTCTGGTAAGGATGACTTTGAGAATGTAACTAAAAGCCCAACAATAGCTAAAAAACTGTTGCAGTAATTAACATGTAATGTGACAATGCCCTGGACAAAGACAATGGATAAAAAGAGCAGATTAAAAAAAATATATATATATATATATATATATCAATGAGCTATATTTTAATTGAATAAATTAATGGATGCAATGTAATGTAAGAAACAAAACTTGACTGCGAGGCTTCAAATGTGAGATAACACCAGAAAATTATCAATCGCATCAGTCAGGATTTTGTTAGGAAATAAAAATCACTCTAGGTAAGGATATAAGTCAATGAATCAAAGCCTTAAACAACCATTGGAAGAACTGTAACGAATCTGTACATACACAGGATCAAATTGCACTGAACTATACGACACACAAATGAATCCATGCAAAAACTGGTGAAATCTGAATAAGTTCTGTCGTCTAGTTAATACTATTGTATGGATGCCAGTTTGTAGTTTTGATATCATATTACAGTGAGATAAGATATCACCACTGAGGGAAGCTAGTTTTTTGTTTTATTTGGCTTTTATGCCACATTTTTTTGGGCAACTTCCTGTGATTATATAATTATTTCTGAATAAAAAGTTTATTTTTAAAGGGGGGTTTATGGAATCAACAATTGGAGAAAAATGGAGAAAAACTATGCTGTTTTTCTGGTGGTACACAGAGGACTTAGTAAAGGGACCCCATTAAGACTATGCTCTCGGGCATATGTTTGCCAGTCATAATACCGAAAATGAGTCTTGTAGCTTCTTTCCACTGCTGTTTATTTTCCCTGACGCACCTTGTCCTACTTCTGCCTTTTTTCCCCAGTAGGAGCTCATGTTTATTGGTCTGATGGCTGGTGATACCTTGGAGACCAAAAAGCCCCTGCCCTCAGAGAGCTTACAAACCAGTGAGGAAGACAAACATTGTGCGAGTTAGCTTAGACATCTATAACTACTGTAACAGCTACTACAGCTATGAAGCAAGGTTCATGAAGTTCTAGGAAAGGAAAAAACTATGAAAGGCAAGGATGGAACAGTATACGAAAGAGCAAGCGAGAGCTGGCGCAGGTGAGGGGCAGGTCAAAGACAGCTTTCCTGAGGAAAGAACACTTGAGTTGAGTTCAAACTGGTGAGGAGGATTTATAAACATAAAGGCAGCTGGGAGGAGAATGGGGAGAGAATGCTCTGGGCAGACTCTCCACAGCTGTCAGCCTAAACTCTGGGGACTGAGAGAAACTACAGAGTTTCTCTCTCCTCTCTCTCCCCGGGTAAGCATGTGCTGACTCCAGGCAACTGAATTGGGAGTTAGCAGGAAAACAAAATAGAAGTTCATGGCTCAGACAGACTCTGGGAGAGAAGAAGGGGTGGAGGCAGACTGTGTCGTGGAAAGAGCCTCGTTCTGGCCATCACAGTTTACCCTGGGACACTGCCACTTATTAGCTTTGTGACCTTGGGAAAATCGCTACTAACCTCTCAAAGTTGTTATGAGGATTCAATGAGAAAGACATGACTAGGGCCTTGTACCCTAGTAAGTGCTCAATAAATGTTAACTCCCTTTTCTCACTTTCTCCAGGCTCACTATGACCTGAATTGTGTCCCTCCAAAATTCATATATTGAAGCCTTAATCCCCAGTGTGACTATATCTGGAAAGAGGGTCTTTAGCAGGTAATTAAGGTTAATGAGGTCTTAAGGGTGAGGCCCTAATCTGAAAACAAACACTGTGACCTTATAAGAAGAAGAGAGTGAGATCTCTCCATTTCTCTGTCACATGTTGGGGGAGGGGCGGGGACACAGCCAAAGGCAGCCATCTATAAGCCAGGGAAAGGGCTTTCCCCAGAACCTTACTCTGACCTCAGACTTCCAGTCCCCAGAACTGAGAAAATAAATTTCTGTTATTTAAGCCACCCGTCTATGATATTGAGCATAAGATGAGGCTCAATTACAAAATGCTTCTTATAGATGATAGAATGCAATCTTAACTGCAGCGACATTTAAAGAATGAATTTATAAAAGGGAAGTGAAGGGAATAATTAAATATGAGCTGCATTTGGGGCTTGGGCATCTTCAAAGACAAGGAGGCTGATGATCTCAATTCATTTGGCGTCGGGTTGTGGCTACTTCCAGGATAAAGACAGCCCATCTCTGTCAAAACTCTCCAGGTGCTTGTGTACATGGTTTAGCAACTGTGTGCTCCCTGTTTTCATTCTTACTGTTGCACGGGAAATGAAAGGACCCAAACTCGAAGAAAGAAAACCAGTGGCGGCCAATATGGGAAACAAGTGCCAAGAGAGATGGGATAACAAGGGGAGAAGGTGAATTACACGCCTTTAAAAGAGAAAACAAGGCCCAGAACCCAGGAGCTCTGGCACGAAGGGGTGTGAGCCGATGTCACGGATGACATGGGAAGTGGCAGTGGCACATCCCATCAACAATGTTTTCTGTGTGAACTGTGGTGCCGAGTTCTGGAAAATACTACCTTGCAGTTTGAACACCTGCCAGTGATAATCACTGCCTCAGTGAAGACCCCACTGGACTCTCACCTCAGTGAAGCGAGGTAAGTACAACAAGCCAGGGATTATGTCCCCAGGAGGGACTGTGGTTTGGGATGTTTACCTGGCGCTCCCTTGGCTGGTGTTAGAGGCAGTGGTGAGCCTTGTGTCTCTGACTCCAAACCCAGGGTTCTTTCCATGGCAAATGTCAAAACACGCCTTTTCATCTGATCTTTACCTGTTTTTCCAAGGTCAAAGTTTTGTCCATGTCCTACCCCATTCCTTGATCAATATCCTTCTTCTCCCCCAAAAGTCACATGCCAGCTTCTTGAGGCACAGGAAGTAACACTAAGTGGAATATGAGAATCCAAAGGAGAAGAGAAGCATGAAAAATGGAACATGCTGGAAAAATTCCTTCACATGACATGATTCCGCCCTTGAGGAAGATGTTTCAGAGTGCTCACCGCACTGTACGGCCAAGCAAGGGTGACTATTATTACAGTGCTCATTTTCCTGCTGTAAGAACTGAAATATTAAGGACCTCATCTCGTGACCTGTATCCTACAGGCCAAGAGCCAGATCTCAAGCCTCTGGGACTATGTCCACCTCCCTGTTGGGGGCAGAACTCGGGTCTGACAGCCAGGGGCCTCTTTGGTTGTCATCCTTCCACCACTTCTCATGTGATCCTGGTCAAGAATTGTAACCCTGGGCTTCATCTTCCTCCACTGTGAACTGAAGGGGCTAAATTGCAGGGTCTCTGAGAACATCGACTAAAGTGGCTGGTATGAAAGCCATCACGACATGCCCTGAAGACCAAAGGTGCCCCGATTTTCCCCCAGGAAAAATAACGAGGTGTTCCACTGGAATTTTACACTTTTACAACAAATATTATCCAGACTCTTTGTGCTCTTCCCCAAATATGATTCAGGAGTGAGCCAAAAGATAAAGATGTTTGTTTTCATTCGTGAGGTCGAAAACACTTCTTTGGGACTCCATCAAACAAGTCGGAGTTTCTGTGTAGGCCCCAGCATCACTGCACGTCCTGGGGACCTGCACGCTCCCTTTTTCCCTGCCACTGCTCCAAGCCTGGGAGAACGCTTCTCAAATAAATCAGGAAATTACTTATTAATCTGAAGCCCCAAAGAGTTACGAACATGCCTCGTTGCCAAAGGGAAGGGGATTTTGAGAGAATGCTCCACAGCTGTTCAGAGACTCCAGCTGTTGGAAGGTCTTGAGAGCAATGTAAGTAAACAGCCCGCTGTCCCGATTGAAGTGACGTTCTTCAGGCTTTCTTCCTCCCAGGGATGAATCTTTTGGCTCAGGTTAGTGTTCCTCTTTCTCCGTTCTTCTCTGAGGTTTGGGGGTGTTTACTGACTGGGGCTGACTCAATGAAACATCTCTGGGGAAGTGTTTGCTGAACAGAAGAGAGAAAGCGAAAGTCGGCTTGATCGGCTTTCCTTGGGAAGGAAGGGCTCCTTTTGAAAACAGCCCTTGACTTGGCAATCAGGCTCGTTAATGGCTATAAATCCATATTCGAGAGAGCGTGAGGCTGACAGAGTGGGAGCAAACAGAAGTGGCTCCACAGCCTTACCCAAAAACCAGAATTGTCATCAAGTCTGCGCCTACATAATTCAAGTTTAAGGTGTTTTCTTCATTTTGATATACTGTAGGGTTTTAACAGAGAAAAGAAAACATTAAAGGTAATATTGTGCTGTGGAGAATTCCATGTAGTAGTGTAGATCTTGTGCTCAATTTATTTTTAGTTAAGGGTACTGAGTTATTTCCTGCTTATTTTGTTAAACAAATGTGCTCACCACTCGGCATGGCTGTGGGGTGATAACGCATGCATTGCAATGTAGAAATGCAAACATCTAGACTGTTAGTAAAACAGTTGGTTTGTACTAATAGTGATTAGATGAATGGATTGCATAATTTCATAAATAATGCATTGTACTAGAGTAGGTTTCTGTCACAGGTATTTTAAATCAGACTGTGGTTAAGGACTGGGAAGTAATTATGGGACCATAGCTAATTCAAAGGAAACAATTTTGGTTCAATCAACCTTTGTTCTATGAGATCCTAAACCTTCCCTGGGAACTCGAGTGTCCTTTTCAGGGGTCGCGCATTGAGAGAGCCCTCTGGCTGTGGGGAACTTGTGTCTCAAGAGCTCACACTCGGCCAGTCATCAGGCTGTGACTCTCTCGTGTGTCCCGGTTCCTGGTTTGAATGCAAAGGCCTCACCTCCTCAGCCTGGGTTGTATTCTTCTGACTCCCAAGAAAGCCCCCAAAATGACAAGAATATTTGCCCTTAACTCTAGTGGAAATTTGACTTCCTTTCTTCTCTTCAAATAATTTTGGTTCATGCTTTGATGTCCTGTGAGGATAAGGCTGGTCTTGTTCCTGAGATGGTAGTGGGGTCGGCCCATGTGTAAGGCACTTCTGAGGGTCAGGAGGCTCCGGGCAGAAAGGGATGTTTGTTACTAGGAATTCATCACAGCTTGTTTCCTATGAAGGCCTCCATTAAGCAACTCACTTCTACTTTCAGTCTTGGGAGACGTCTAACCTTTCACCTTTGCTTAACAAATATGTATCATATGCCTAATGTGCTGAAAGCAATAAAAAACAAACGAGAGATGATGCTCCCCTTCTAGTACAAATATGTTTTTAGTTTATGCAGCCGAAGTGAGCTTTCCCTTTCATGGACAGGAACTAAACAAGTGTGAGCACTGGCTGTTTCACTGGTGTGGTGCAGTGGATCATAAAATGGAGGGGCGCACGTTTGGAATGTGAAAGGAAGTTATACAAATATTAGGAAACATTGCCAAGCATTGGCCACGTGCTTGGCCCTCTACTCATGTTTCACAGTGTCTTCAGAGCAGGTGACATGCGGGTTAGGGATAGTAGCTCTGCCCCAGGAGCACCTGGGGACATGTCCCAGATGGGCCCCCATGTGGTCCAGGGTTGGTGACTTAGCTCCTTTGTGCCTCGGTTTCTTTACTATGATATAAAGGCAGTAACTTCAGGATTCATGTGAAGCTTGAATGTGAATGTAGGTAAAGGGTTGTTTTTGTCCCTGTCGCGTATGAGAAACTGAGGCTAGCGACAACTAAGTAACTTCCCTGTGGCCACACAGGTGATGGCTGGCAGGGTGGGATTTGGAAGTAGAAGTACCGGCTTTATCATAATGGACAAAGTCCCCAGTTTTAACCATGGCCTCCTTCCCCTGTGTTGTTGAGTTCTTTTGCATATATTCCTTTATCTAGCTCCCACCAGGGCCGTCTAGGTAAATATTACTGACCAGTGACCATGAAGATTTCAGACAAGGAAACTGAAGCTCAAAGTCGTGAAGTAACTCACCCAAAGTCACACTCCTAGAAATTAACAGTGCTGGGAGCTAAGCACAGGTGTTCAAGACCTAAGTCTGTGTTCTTTTCACAACCCCATGCCTTTAAAGGGGCAGGTCCTCACTGGCCCCTGCAGGGCAAGCGAGCTAGCAAAGGCTGGCAGTGCTCACCATCAGTCAGGCCCTTGTGTTTGAGCCTGGCACCGTTGATTAGAGCAGGTACCTGGGCCCCTTTGTTAATAACTCTCCAGAGGATTTGGGTGTGCATCCAAGTTTACTGATCACTCTCCTCAGCCTGTCGTGCAACCTGAGAAAAAGGGGATTGCTGTACCCCATTTGACCTCCACGTGAAGAAGCCTCATGACATGAGATGGGGCATTTCCCCCCATTCAGATTCTTGAAATTCCCTGTGGTCAGAACCAACACTGTTTCCGACTTATTTACTGTCTTGTTGATATCCCAGTGCTTTCCTCATCTTTTGGCACATGTCACTTTCTAAGCTCTGTGACCATCTGAACTTTTTGTCATCAACTGCTTTGATTGCATCAGGCTTCAATGATCAACAGATGGGTTGATTTCTTTCCCTTTGTAGGCTTTTTATTATGATCAGAACAACTTCATGGAATTCATCACCATATTAGAGTAACATGAGCGATATCTATAAATCAGGAATTTCTCAAAAAACTTTACCCAGGGAAACCAGCGACACAGAGTATTTACTGTGCTGAATAAAATATAATTAGATTGATTTCTCTGAAGACTACTACAACACAGATAGATACAAGCCAACAGGGGGATGCCAAAACATGTACTGGGAACTGTAGATGCCTTGGAAAGGGGTCATGGAGGGCGTGGTAGAATAGGAACCATCGAACATTAGAAATATTTCTCTTGGTGTCAAATGTCAGGATTTGAAGTGACCTACCCCTGGCTTGGAATTCTGGCTTCACCACTTCCTAACTATAAGACTCCAAGTATGTGGCTAACATCTCAAGAGTACATAACAGGCATAAACAACTCAGCATTTAATCCACAAATGTCTATTGAGCACCTACTATGTGCCAAGCATTATTCTAAATATAGCAGTGAACAAGAGCCAGAGTCTGTGCCTTCAGGCCTTTGGAGGGGGAGACAACAGAATCATAAACCAGAAGTGCCTGAAGCAAATAAAACATGGTAACGAGGTAGAGTGACTGGTAGGTGTGGGGGAGGGGACACTTCTGTAGCTAAGGTGGTCAGGGACCACCCCATTGAAGAAGTGGTATATAGCACACACTTGACTCATAAGAAAACCACAAAAGCCATGGTTAAGCCACTAACTAACCATGTGACACTAGACAAGCCATTGAAACTCTTTAGGCTTTGGTTTCATCACCACAAAACTACAGAGCTGGACTAAATCTATGGGGCTTCTTTTATACCTGAAACTGTCATCTTCTTTTCTTGGCTTAGCGTCATATGCCATGAGTAATTGCATGAAAAGAGGGGGGAAAAATGTGAACCAAATCTGAACCAAACTATACTAAAGTTATTTCCATTTTCTGGATTTTTTTTCAAAATGTTCTTCCTCATCAACGATAAATTAATAGGTCCTAAGCAAATGAAGATTAATGAATAAGTCTTTCCTAAAAGCTCTAATCATCATGGTTCCTAGGGATTACACTGTTGGAGAGGACAAGAACCACTTCATGGCAGATGTTTAGGGATGAACTGTGCAGTGACTTCATGTGTGGCTTTGTGTCTGAAATTGCACATATGTTAGTGGAGCTAACAGGCGAAGCTGCCAAAAGCCGGCCCGTCCAACATTCTATTAGCCAAGAGTCATGTGTATGAACTTTAAAAAACAATCCATGTTCTGAGGTGGTGCCTTTCCCAAAATGGCACCGCAGACCTCACTTGGGTCTGAGACAGCATACATCCAATGTGAAGGTCATAATGCAGATAACTTGTACCAGAGGAGTTTTGCCTTTCAATCAGCCAAATATCTGTGGTCAGTATATTCTTGGCTGTAGCAACCCAGATAATTGTCTTATTCCTCCAGTTTACCTTTATCGCCATAGCGTAAACCTCAATTATGGATGCACAATCTAGAATGAGCATTCTGTGTGCACTGCAACATAAAAGGCCCAGGCCAATGCTTTTGCTTTTCAGGTGCTGATATTTTTTGCTTAATTTTTAAAAACGCGATCTCTTCAAATTGCAAACATGTTTTTAAGAATTGTTTTGAAAATGAGGTCCAAAGTTGAGCTCTAAGGACTGAAAAATCACAGCAGAGAGAAGGAGATTAGAACATCGGAGTTAATTAACCCATAGTAAGAGAGGGTTGTGGGGTGATTCAGTGATGCTCCTTGGGGCTGTAAAGCAATTTCACCCAGAGAACGGTGGTGAGATGCTGTCCAGTGGGGAACGGAGGGGGAGTGCAGCTACTATTGTGCACTTACTGTTATGGCAAATAACATTCCCAGATTTTACAGACATCAGCTCCTCACTGCAACAGGGATGAAGTGGAGTGTGGCTATTACTCTGCTTGTATTACAGATGAGAGCTGAGGTTCAATGCAGTTAAGTGCCAATGAAGCTCTCCAGCTAGGAAGTGACACAACTACAACTTGAATCCAGAATTGCCCTACTGCACAACCCACTAACGTTCCTCTTGGCCTTAGAAAGATAATGGGCTATTTTTCTTTTTTCACATGCAGTAAACATTCTATTGAACTTGTAAAAAAGGATCTACTGCAAGTTTTTAGATGTTGAAATAGCCTCCTGAGGGAAGAGGCTCCTTCTTTGGAGGTCTATTAGAGCCAGATTGGCTATTACATACATTGAGTATGACTTCAGCATGGTCCTTCCCCAAAGTGAAAAAACAGACAAAATGATTCCTCGAGTCCCTTTCTAGTTTTTCCAACCAAAGGCCAAGCCTACATCTAGGCAAGGCAAAATGGTGGTGACACATTGAGCCTAACTATCCCACTGTCCCTCC